TGGATATGTGGCGTCATGCACGTCTGTTCTGTTTGATTAAAGATTAGAAAGGTTTACATGTTCATTTTAGGCTGTTTGGTTCATTTGTTATTCCTCCTTTGACAGACACTTCTATTCTGAAGGTAGCAGTATACAGACTGAGCCGAGACAGCGAGAGGGCGCGCTAACTGCGCATAGCCGAGCGCGAGCCTTTAGCTGTGTTCTCCCCTCTCTTGTGTACCCCATTCTGTGTTTTCCAGTAAAGCTGAATCATGAATTCAATCTTCAACTTGTGTTCGTTTTTTGGAAACACCACTTGCTACAGTATGAATATCTATGTGAAGTAAATTAGCAGTTTTGTCAGGTTTACAGACGTTTGTGGAACAACAGAACCAGTATGTATTGGCTTCTATTTATTTTCACTGTGCTACAATGACATATTCACATACCCTGCTTTTGTGTAAAAGTCATAAATATATATTTTTTTTATTCCTATGAATGTTGTCAATGTCCTGTTTTTATATGAGGCATATTATACTTATCATTTGTGACTGTTCTTGAGAGAGCAAAAGAATGCCTGTCATTTTGGTAAGTATATAAGATTAACCCGTAGTTAGCCTTTAATCAGTAACAAATGGTGACAAATCACTTTACTTTAGGGGGCACAAACATTATGAATTCATCATGAAGAATCAGTAATCATCGCTTTCTTTATAGTGAATCGAGAATTGACTCTGCATAGTGCTGTATTTTCCTCACTCTGACACACCTCAACCAGCACAACAGGAGCTTGTAAATTAGAAGTCGAGTTCAATCAGGTGTACTAAATGAGGGAAAACACAAAAATGTGCATAGAATTAAGGATCTTATGACCCTAGGGGAAAGGCACTGCACTTTCCCTATCAATTATTAACTAATTTCCACATTCATTGGTAACTGTAGGATAAACAATTCCCTCATGAGGCTCCGTGTATCAACATAGGAGTTAAAACATGTCATATTATTTACATTGACCATGAATTAAAACTATGGCAGCTGTCACAAATGAGGACTTGTTGCAAAAAGATGTCAGTGTAAGGGCTGCTTACACTGCAAGATGAAGCAGAAGGACAAGATGATGAGAGGATGGAGCTACAGAACAAACAGTTGACTTTGATAGACAAAATATGGCTTTGATAGACACTCTGCCTCAGGGGGACAACAAACATTAATTAGCCCATGAATTATAGATAAATTCAGATGTGGAAGGAAGCCTTTATTACCTTCATCTTCATTCATTAGTACATGCATAAGTTAGCATAAGTAAGCAGAGTGCCTAAAACTCCCTTCCCAGTGATAAAATCACAGTAATGCAAGGCCTCTCATGGCTTATTGCTTTTATAAAACGGCAGCCAACATAAAATATAATAAAATACACAATGTTTTAGATAACTATCTAAGTTAGTACTAATAATAATCGACAAAAACAAGTATTCCGCCAAGAAATGTAGTTCCTTTAGAGAACGGTATTGTTGCTAAGCAACCATTGATCACTGAATGAGGAGAATAACGTTCGGTCGCTAATCTCTGTATACCTCAGACATTTCATGATTTTAAAAACTTTTTTTTGAATAACAGTGAACACATGTAACATAGCACTGTTTAATGCAAATACTTTCAGTTAAGTAGTTACTTTTTGGTCACCAAATTACCACCGCGAGTCTTCTCCTGCCAGTCTGACGACGCCACTTTTCTCACGCTAGGGCTGAATCTCAAACGACTCCCTGCTCCCTACATAGTGCACTACGTAGGAATTTAAATACTGACTCCTGCACCCCAACAATGCAAAATATCGCTAAAAAATGGTCATTTGGGATTCATCCACATTCATACTCGACTACCAGCACACTATTTGACAGCAGAAGCTAGAATTTCTAAACTTAATGTTACACAGCACACTATTTAGCTAGGGAGCACGGAGCCATTTGGGATTCAGCCTTGGTTCGATGCTACTTCTTTCTGAACACGGACATCTGAAGCATGTAAGCCATTCAGGTGACATTCTTTAGACTTTTATATTGCCATTTTTCAGTGAATCATATCATGAGTACTTTAATTCAAGCCTGTGATATTAATATTGGAGTTGTCTAGCATGTTTGCTATCTTTTAGCCTGCTGGCCAGTGGTGTCAGTGAGCTTCTGTTCATTGATAGAATTATGAACTCAGAAGTTTACAAAGGCATGTTGGATGCAAACCTGCAGTAAAGAAACTGTTCAGTTGATAATGATTTGCAACACACCAGCTGCCTTTGAAAGAATATTTTGCCAAAAAGAAACTGACATCCTTGGAGTGGTCTTTTTAAAAATGCCACTTGGCCTTTCAACAACTCAGAGGCAGTACGTCTTGGTTTGACGTTTTATTTCTTAACACAATGAACTTAATGCATTTTTCAGTATGGCACAAATGTCCAAATGGGGCCACTGTATCACCAAGATGATGTAGATGATGAATGGGCAAGCAGAAAAATGCTAACACTGGTAAAACCATGGTGTTCTCTTTCAACTATGAAGAACATCAACAGAGCAACAATCACCCCCCCGCCTAAAGTCCTAAAGAACATCAATCCTTAGAGGTATCAAGTTCAGCTCATGCTTAAGTCCAAAACAACTACTCCCTAACCACAGTAGCAGTCCTCTGGAAGCTAAGTGACTTGCTCATGGGCACTGTGACAACAGTGATCAAGGAGATCTAAACCCATTACCTCTGAAATCACATATAGGCACTGTGCAGCTGGAGTTGCCAAGCACCTGCGAACATTGGGAGACCACAATGTCATAAAAGTTAATCAGCACAACGTTTGGATGCAGTCAACTTGCCCTATAGGCACCCTAAGCATTCTACAGCATCATGTGTCCCGACCACCAACTACAGTTCAGACGCAGTAAGTCTGATATTTGCAGTTGATGAAGAGAACACCAAACCTCCTTAAGCCCCCAGGGTATTTTGGTCTCAAAGGCAACTTCAGGTACTGGAAGCAATCAATCACTGAAGAAGCCAAGTCTGAAGATGCTGAGATGCTACCTGAGCCAACGTGCCTCGGCCACCGTCGGGGAAACAAAAACAGCCGTGAAGAAGAGATGGAAGCTTGGCAGATTAACTACTCTCAAAAAAATATGATGACAAGCAGCGTGCTCAAACGTGTGTTCCACCGGTGCCTGTGATATGAGCAGGCCACATATGCATATATACAGCACGCTTCAGTGAGCATGAATATGAGAACCGTGCCTCCATAGGCTTGAAAACAGGTCGTTTTTATTGATCCTTGAATGAATGAAGTCCAAGTGCGATGACTGTTGACTGATTCTCCTTGTCCTCTAAAGCAACTGTTTGCGCATCATTTAGTCTTTTCTACTGCAGTGAAAGTGAAAGTAAACTTACAGCATGATAAGGTTATGATTGTTCACTTCATGATACACAAGGGCATGTTGATTGTACTCAGTAAATGACATTGCAGATAACACTGGGCAGGGCTGAGACAATGCTGGGCTGCTACATTAGGTGACGCGTTTTTGCCCAAACTTTAGCTTTCAGTGTAAATATAGTTTGTATAGAATAGAATTGTATACTTAAATTGAATTTCCAGAAATTTTCAACACTTCTATATATTTCAGTGGTTGAGGCCTAAACAAAGTCATTCAGAATGGTTTGATGTAAAATCTCGCATTGTAGAGGAACTTAATGACTCAGGGTTCTTCACAGTGGTGGTGATAGAAACCAGGGCTCACAATGTCTACAACGTAAATATATCCATTTTATCTACTATCCAAAAAGGCCAGTGCACCTTCACGTGTCTTCTGAGTTTTATAGAGTACTGTGCAAAAGTCAGAGACCATCCTTCATTTATTTAATTCCCACTCAAAACTACCATTAAGTACAAGTTATTCAGTATTCAGGAGATATTTCTGAGGAGATCACCACCACAGAGTCCAGTCATTTTCTGACTGAACTTTGGAGGTGTGGAAAAACATCCCTGCAGATTTCTTTGAAAAACTGAAAACAAGAACAAGCTGTAATAAAGGTAAAGTGTGGATGAACTAAATGCTAAACAAAAAATTACATTATATGGTTGTTATATATATATATATATATATATATATATACACTGTCTTGTTTGTGAGGGAGCAATCACTCAGAATTTATTTAATTTCCAGACAAAACAGCCATTTCTGAGGAGATTAGATAGAAGAATAATCAATTTGTATAAGGAAGAGGAAAATAAGTGAAAAATCAGGAGTTTCCAAAGATAATTAAAAGTTATAGAAAAAAATGGGACTCCTAGCAACCACACAAAACCACCGAAACTGTCACCTTTGGTTAAACAGTACTTAAAGCCTTCATCTTTGAGAGAGAGGAGAAAATCAAGCTCCACTCTTCCTTCAGATCTGAAAAAAATCCACAGGTGTTTCTGTCCATCCTTCCACTGTGAGATGACAACTCAACACTATAAGTCTAAAAGGATGTGTACCTGTAAAGAAGCGCTTACTGAGAAAGAGGAAACAGACAGAGACGGAGAACATTTGCACTAGATGTGGAATAAGGTTGTATGGACTGATGAGTCTAACTTTGTAAATGGAATTGCTTGGATCGTAAGAAGCCAAACATGAAACCAACTCACTGAACTTTGGAGGTGTGGAAAAATGTCTTGGCAGATTTCTTTGAGAAGCTGAAAGTAAGTTCCCTGAAAAGAATGGAAGCTATGATAAAGGCAGAATTTATTATTATTATTAATTTTCTGTGAAATATGTTTCTGCTTTTTTCTTGATACTGAAAAATGAAAACCGTGGCTGTTTTGACTGGAAGTGAAGCAAATGAAGGATTTTTACACAGTACTGTATGGTCAGCTATTATGTTTCATAAATATCCTTATTCATAATTTCAGATATTTATCGTTATTGTGCTATGTGGTCTTACATAGTGTAGTGGAATTTTTCACCTGTGCAAAGTGAATCATCAATCTTCAGACTTACACAGCACACTCAGACTGAATTTTTCATTGGAAGAGGAAACTCACCTTTTTATTAGTTATGTATGAACACAAATATTGACTGGCAATATAAAAATACTTTATCTGAAAGTAGTAATTATAGTAAGAAAGGACACTCCCACTCCAAGTGACTCAGAATTGCAATAGTCAAACATTTACAGGCTTATTGTCGCAATAAAATGAACAAAGTGACTTTTATAATATCTAAACTGCTAAAAGTCACTATCATTTTCTTTCAAAACATGGACAACCTCTAAAACAGTCAGATGAACAGAGCAAGATAAGGGTACAAAATAACAATTTGTTTCAAATAAGAAGCTACTTTAAAATATAACTCTAAAAATGACACAAACCATTCATTCTTACTAGAGTAACATTTAAAGTAATTAAAGACATGAAATGAACATCAAAAAGGAGACATTTATACACATTACCTACAAGCTCAAAGGTCACTCTCAGTGAGATACACTGTCATTACAGTAAATCTCATAAGGAAACAGTTGAAGTATTTGATGGGATTGCAAAACCATTCCACCCACATGTGAATTACATTGTTATCAGCTCCAGCAAAGCTGCTAGCCATAAAAAAGTGAACGTTTATAGACATAATTCATCACTAAATAGCTTAAACATGCAGCCCTTCTTACTCCTGTATGCATGGCCAGATTTATGCACATTGAGCCATAGGCAACGGGCTGTGGCAGTATTTAGGAAAAGAATGGAGTGTTGTTAGCAGCTTATGCTTTGGGCAAAATACAGAGAGTACTAAAAAAGTCCATGCTGGGTAGCCAGTACACCAAAGCTGAGTCCGAGACAGTGAGTGGAACCACAGCACTCAAGGCAGAAACCTTGTAGACGCTGGCATCTACCTCATAGGTTCTCACAGCCAAACATTTAGCTGGAACGCTGTAAAGAAACAAAGTAAAGTGTTCAGTTGGTCTTGTTTTGGTTCAGTTACAGACTGTGAATTAATAACCTTACAATATGTTACTCATTCATAATTTGTAAGTGTAATACTGTGCTATACCACAACTCTTTGCTATCTTTCACATCTAAATGTAGCTTAACTTGATCTTTAAGAAAAAAATAAGGCTGCCAAAAATTGTTCTTTGGAGCAACCACTTCTCTTTCCCTAAAGAACTTACCAAACGATAGTTTAAAGAACCTCCACATAATGTAAAGGTTCTATACCAATTCAACGTTTCAGTCCCACTTGACTTGGAAAGCCGCCTATTGATTATCTACATACCTTTAGATTATCAACAAACAATAAGGAGAAACTCAGTTCATTCTTAACAGCATTAGGGTTAGGATGAGCACCAAGTTTAAGTTCGGGACCAGGGTTAGATTTAGATTATGGATTGAGGTGAAAGACCCCCAGCACTCAAAATGTGCATTCTAAAAGGTAAACTTCTCTTGGAAATCGTATTATGATTATACAGACTAATAGTTGTAGCACAGAGCTTACATTATTCCATTACAAACACAGCATTTCTCAGTTAATCTGAAAAAAGTGACCTGTTGGGTGCTACGTAGCCACTTAGTTTGGTACGTCATGGTCCAATATACTAAAAGATGCTAATGATAGGATTACCAGAGCTGACAGGAAACCTACAGCTACAGAATTTGACTGCTAACATAGCTTAAACATTTGGAAATTCTGGACTGTGCAGTAAACTGTTAACTGAAATAGATAAATGAAGTTGGTGTTTTCAGTTATCACAGTGTTAAATTTTGATTTCACTATAAATCTATCTAAGAAATTGTCAAATGTGGAGTGTAGAGCTGCTTTAGTAGCAGGTAGCATGCTACAACAGTAGCTTAGCATGCTACAGCTACACATCCCAGGGTTCATTCCGGCTCACTAACGCTTAATTGATGTAAGTTTTGAAACATTAAAAGATTCAAATCTAAGTGGGTAAACCTAGATATTTGTGAGCGGAGGCTGTTAGCTTAAGCTACTTTTACTTCAGTATCCTCATTAGCACTTGAAGCTAGAGTTAGCTTAGGGAGAAGATCTACACAGCTTTACACACAACCATTCAGGTTCATTATGGCCCATTGAAGCCTCACTGATGCAAGTTTAGAGGGTAGTATGAGGGGGTGAGGGGTGGGGTTTAGAAACAGGGACGCAAGAGGACATCTACAATTTTCATAATCATGCATATTCATCTTTGCATTCTAAATAAGCGTCATATGTCAGTTTTAGTAGTTTCTTGGACACATAAATAATGTATTTAAATGTTTAACAATTTGAGATTCAACATAGATTTATTTTTTGTGTTCTAAACTATGATTTTAAGGGTACTTTAAGATTGTTGTTAGAAAACATTAAGGCACATTTAATAGATATGTAGTTAAATGCAAGGTAAGCGCCTACAAAGCATCTACAGTGGGCTATGTAAATAAAATGTTACCAAAGTCTTTCTTAAAACCATTAAGGAACCTTAATAATTAAGAGTGCATCATGAGGTAGTGAAGTAGCTGCCACTAAATCCATTCTGTTACCTTGTTCTTGGAGGATTTCTTTCTGTGGACATTTTCTCTGTCCACCTTTTCCATCAGCATCTTCACCCATGTGTTGCTGGGATTAGCACAGAAAAATCGTCCTCGCTTCGTCTTGAACCTGATGAAGGAAATAAAGAACATCTGCATTAGTTTTTCTGACGGCATTCCAGAGTTATTCAGCAGAACCTTCTTACTGCCTTCACCCCTTTAAATGGCCAGGACCCACTGGCCCTTCCAAAGTTTTGCTACACACTTCTATGACCTAAGAATGAAGCCAGTTTGCATTGGAGTCCATTTATTTACTGAATAAAAGGTCTTAGTATGTGATACAGCTGGAATGTTAAGAGGTTAACTAGAATGTTGGAATTACATTTGATTATAGAACTAGTCCATAAAACATGAGCTTTTTTTGCCAAAAGTAAATTTGTGCATTCAGTATATTTTTAAAAAATCTAATCAAATCATAGTGCGATTTCATGATGCATTTACTTCATAGAGAATCAAATGAAAATTAAATTACTGTACATGTTTACTCATATACTGCACTGTACTCACACTATGGCCGCAATGTTACAGCCACCATCCAGCTCCTGTTTTCTGTAGTTAACCACATTTTTCAGGGTGTGCTTTTTCACGCTGTTTACATGGCGCAGACAGCAGTCCTCATATGAACCTACAGCAAGAAGCACATACGGCAAGTGTTTACAATGCTGATTAAAGCATGTGAGCCTGCAAAATAGCTCTATTGATTCTGTTTGTATACATCCTACTGCAGTGTACATTAGTGCAGCGCAGGGTATATCACATGTACTGCTGTAGCTATCACTGAATGACTTTGTAGAACAATTCCAAATATCTTTGTCAACCGAATGAATGCAATCAGAAGCAAATAATACACTCCCAATTTTGCTGCACAAAAGTATAGCTATACTTTTGTTCTATAGCTTCTTTTGTATCAGTCCTTTTCTGAAAAGATAAAGCGCAGCTCTGCGTTTGAGCTCCAAGGTTGGTATGCGGTCACAGATTAAGTGTGATAAATGACAAAATGCTCGCTCATGACTTTTGTATCTCTGTGAGTTGCTTGATTTACAAACACTGTTGAAGTGAACAGCTGCATGTTGACCAAATTAATACAACTTTTTGGCAAACTTGCTCAATAGCAGCTCTTGCATAATCTGTTGATATTTTCTTACAAGCAAAAGCTGTTGACAGTAGGAACTACATTACATTGTAATGTGCTGTCATTTCACCTTTCTAGAAGCTTTATGTCCTTATGTTACAAATATTTGTCACTGTATAAGGAAAGGTTAAGCTATGTTTGCAGGATCCGATGAATGTACAAATGATACGTTTGACAAAAGGACATGTGGAAAGTACCTTGTGCCAAGCTGAGGTAGAGGAACCCCAGGAGCACGAGGAAGAAGAGCACAATGAATCGCATGGCTGGATGTGTCAGCGTGTCTCTAAAGGAAAACATAGGAAGGTCTCAGGAGTGAACAGTGAGTCCAAACTCAGCACTCCTTTAAAGTGCCCATAAAGTTTATCCATATACATCCAGCTTTACTAGTGTAGCCTTGACCCTTGGACAAACCACCGTCATAGACTTAACAGAAAGGCTGTTTGAAGAAAACAAGTTTCAATTAAGGCAAGAAAGAGCACTTTCTATTGGATTAAACTGAAAAAGTGCACTGTCAGACCATGAATGAGAAGTTGTGAATGATTGATTCACAGTATAAGTGTGATTCATTCTCATATACACATCACAGTGACCATGATTTTAGAAAATACCAACATATCTCCTTTTATTCATTTCAGCACACATCTGTATAAGTTCATACTGATAGCACTGGTCTTATATAACATTTTGTTATGCCTTATCAGCAAAAAACACTGAACAGAATTTCTGCTCTAAACCCAAAGCTGCCACAGAGCCAAAGTAGACTGCTTACCTGAGTCAGTATGGGGCATTAGAAAGCTCAGCTGAGGTTACTGCTGGGCTCCAGGAGTCTGCTCGCTGTTTAAGGCATGCCCTTTTATAAAGATCTTGGCCATGACACCTGAGACAACACACCCTCCTGAACTTCAAACATACTTTCACTTTCACAGAATAAGCACAAACTGTTTTCTCTGTTTCACGGGATGAACGTTATTTCAGCCCGACATGAACCCAAACAGGAGTTCTGTACTCATTTGGTTCTTAACTTTTAAACCAAACCAACTACTGCCCTTTAAATAACATGGATATCGCAAGTTGGTCATTCTTTTTGCTGAAAAGATACAGTAATATCTTACAGTTAGAAAGACTTATACCTGTTCTTATCTTCTAACTTCTTCAAACCAAACCGTGTGACCTACAGGTTCACAGAATTGCCACCTTGACATGTGAACAAGCTTTATGAAGGATTAGGGTGACTGGGGGGGGGTGTAGAGGCGGGTCATGATTTTTCCTACAGTCCCAATTTGTAGGACATGCGACTCAATGTTTTACAACAATGTTTTTCTTTTCCAACAGCCATGGCTCATTTTTTCCAAAATCATCAGTGTTAAGGCCATGTTAAATGCTTCTGAAATTTAGTCCTGGAGACAGATCTGCACTGCACATGTTTCCTCTAGGATTGCCAGTCCTTAAAAAGTTGCTGAGGCTTCCCAGAATTATTAAAAATTAAATGCTCACATTTTTTTATAGATTTTAAATAGATTAAAATGCAGCAAATGTTTGAACACCCCTTCTGTCATGAAAAAGGCATCCAGTACAGGGAGCAAACTGGTAGATTCAACTGCACATATTGGTCCACAATTTCAAATTTATTTGTTTAACATATTGGAAAAAATAAAATGTAAATATACTATAACTTTTTCATAAATTTTACGTTTTATTTTTCCCCTATGTCTTAAATTCAGCAAATGAATAGTAAGTGTGCACACAAATGTGCTCCCTTTAGGGGACATGTTAACTGCTTTTCACTTAGAAATTCAACAAAACATATGATTTGACCAGGGGTGCTCAAGTTTTTGCATATGACTGTAAATTAAAGTCTTTTTGATCTTCTTTAAAAAGGGTGCTGCAGTGCACAGCAGAACAACCGAGAATGCAGCTAACTGTCCTTCCACCCACCACTGCCACTTTCACCTGCCTGCAGTTCAAAATGCTCTACTTTATGCGAACCAGCAAAAAAATAGTTCATTAAAACTAACAACCTAATTCCATGAGCTAAGAAGGAGGCCAGAACACTGTCAGATGGAGCTGTCAACTCCAGTTTCCCCCCGCAGCTACTGATCAAGTACTCCAAACCACGCAGTTCAGGCAGGCCTCCACCCCCTAAAATGTAAGGCTCATGATAGATCTTGGCTTGGATGTATAATTCTAAGGAAAAAAACTTTTCATCATGTGGAGGCTTACCCAAACATTAAGGGAGGTTTTATGTCATTAACAAAAATGGTTTCATGATCCATGTGGCTCAGCACTTCTGAGAATCCAGGCCCAGAATACTGTATAGGGTTGGCATGTAGTGTAATAGAAGCATTGGGAAATTAAATATTTGTATCCAGTCCAAGTTGAAGTTTAAAGTTTAAAAACATACCAAATTTAAAAATAAACACCATCAGAGCTTGTTAATTAGAGCATGGCATGTAGCAAGCATGCATGTCAGTTGTACTCTAAAGAGGAAATCAACAAATGGCTTCTCTACAAACACTGAAGTTCCTGCTAAAGCCTGAGTAGACTGATAAACCTATATAATGAGCCAGTTATTTATCTCAGTGTTACTAAACTCTTTTGAATGATGGTTGATCTGAACAGTCTCACCACTCATAACTTCCCACTTTACAGTCAAATTTGCAGGATTTTGTTTTTGGGATATGGGCGAATTGGTGTCAGTCCCTGCACATTTTGACCTGTGCAAAATGTAATCTGATTATGTTACTTTTTTATGTATAATAATAGAATTTGTCGATCCCTGGTGATGCCACAGCCATTTGTGGCCAGGAGTCCAAGACAGTATAAATGGCCTATCTCTCTCTGGGTGGGTAGGATGGCCCTGCCTCTTCCCCATCATCCCCCACAGCATGATGCTCGCAGGTCTCTTTTAACTAACATATCCGAATTAACAGTTATTGTTCTCCTCCAAGCATGTTGAGTAAACCAATGATGTTGGTGTTACTAGCAGTTCAAAAAGATGTAACGGAGGATAAAGCATGTGATGTTTATGACTGCAGCCAATCACGTGAAACATGAGGAGAAAGAAGGTAAGAAGGAAAAGCAGATCATGCTACCGAAATCTATATGAAGTAGATTATTTATAACAATAAAAAGCAGTGCTGTCACCACTGTCACCACAGCTAAATCAAACTAGGTTTAAAGTTAGCTGGGTAAGTAAGATACTATATTGAAACTTATTATAACCCCAAAAAAGCATCCGATCACCAGCAATACACAATTATCCAGTCATAAATGTATATACTTTAGCAGCGCAAACTCAATTACATGTTGTCACCTGACATAGGTGTGTCAACTTCACATCAAAGTTGACAAAAGCAGCCTTCATGACAGATGATGCTCACTTGAATAAGACATTAAAAATATTTTTCAAGTTTATGTCAGTCATGAAGAGCTTATAGGTAGGTGTCATTTGGCCTTATGAACATGGCCCTCCAGTAAAGTGTTACCTTTCTTTCTTGCCACACCAGAAAACCAATGAATGCTCTTATTCTGTATGTTTTGCGTCACATTCAGGCACTAGGGCTGTGAAGTCTGTGATAGATAGACGATCAAAGGTAGAAACACTGCTCTTCTAAACTCTCTCTTTGAAGTGTCCGGTGAATTGGGCAGTTGAAACCATCTGATCCGCTAATAAGTCACTGATTGAGACGTGACCTTTTTTTCCTTGTATAAACAGTTACCTGCTCTTACATAAGAATGGATGAAATATGCTTGGATTCATGCTCAAATCCTGAGGTATCATTCGTCACCTGCCAGGTTCTTACATAAGAACCCAGAAAAAATGCTGTTGTAACATGAAACAAGGGGTGAAAAAAATCAAGCCTCATTGAAAGTTTGATGAAATTCAACCCACGTAAACAGCGCTGTTTAAACTTGATGGAATAAGGAGCACTTTCATTTGTAATTTCATGAGTCCCAACGAAGCTGCCACCATGACGTGACCGTGACAGCTTATTTAATTTCGACATCTTAGGAAATGGATACATGGTCCCTTGTAGAGGAGCTGCATTTCCATTTCCAAGCAGCTTACATTCTACTTTCAGATCTCTTATGTGATGCACCTTCTGGCTTCACTAGCTGTCCTGAAAGAATCAGCTATTGCCAACAGCAGATCCAAGCTCTGGTTCTGCACTCTTAAAAATAGTTTAAAAAAAGTCATTTGTAATCCACTTCTCTCAAACTGTAATGTGATTACTTTACTAATTACTTACTGGAAATCTAATTGCTCATTACTTTACTTCTGAATTACCCATAACAATAAATAATAAATAAATAAATACCTTATAAGTGAGATTAACCTTTTCTAGATCACTGTTACATTCACTTCTGGTTTATTATCATTTTTATGCATTAAAATGTCCAGCAATATGGCAATGCAGTGCACCTTTATAAAGCTTGAAATCTCAAGATCTGATTCACAATCATCTCAGTTGCAACATAAGCACCAAATGAGCAAACGCTGTGGGTCCTAACCTTCAAAGTAAAAGCCTTGCCACTCCACAGAGACATCATAATCAAAAACAAGGGGTCTTGGTAACACGGCAAGAGTCAGAGATCAGTTTAGAGATCTGTGAGTCAGGTGGAAATAAACTCCTCAATTCTAGTCTCTATTCTGTGTCAGTAAGTCATCCAATTATTCTGACAGTGTAAAAAAACTTAAGAGTGTTACCTTTCAATTAAGACCAAGATCATGACGGTAGCGCAAAGTATGTGGTAACAGTGGGCCTCAAAGTTTTTTCTTGAATTTATTCTTGAACCGCAAAATTGTTTGCACATTTGTGCTTTTGCATTGCGTAAATTCTGTTCCTACCCAAGAACAACTACCAAATAAGAAAACACTGGTGAATTTCAGAATCTTTCTAAACACTGCAGAAGAAATTTCTTCTTAAGAACGGTTGGTGAATGAGGCCCTTTTTTCCTTTTACTTTGGGTCTGCCGTTTCAGGCAAGAATGGTGCAACAATAAAATAAAAGTTAAACAATAGATCAGCAAATGTTCATATTTTTAAATTGAGAATGCACATAATTAGTCTATTGTGACTATAGTTTACAGTCTGTAACAGTTTATGCTTTTTTGTGCAAGATCTGTGTACCTAAAGACAGACTAGAATCAAGATTTCTTCTCTTTTTTCTTTAAACCAAACTGAGTCACAGTGCAGAAACAGGAGTATTCCTACAATCACTGAAAGGTACAACATCCCATTTGAATGGCAGCAACAAAATCAATGATAATATAAAACCCAAGAAGCCTGAAAACACATAAGATTTTCTTTTATTTCATTTATTTAATCTTTTTTGCATTTTCAAAGACTATTCATTTATCTAATGCTGTGTCTGCAGTGTATTGCCCCTAGTATTTGAGCCCCCTTGAGGGTCTGAGGCCCTCTAAGGCTCCTGGTAGTCAGAGGCCCCTGGTCACTGGCCCCACTGGCCCAGTCTGTAATCCATCCCTGGAACCAACTGAGAGCACAAGAGATAGCCCAATAGCTTTATTTAGAAGGAAACAGTCAGACACGGTAACTGTCATGTAAAAGCTCCAAATTAAAACTTTATGGATAAAATGTAAAGCTTATAGAGCTGTTCCTGAATGAAAATCGGTTGTGGATTGTTTAGGTGACATTGGGTGTCTTCAGCACGGGGATCTTTAGCCATCAGTTTTATTAGCAGAACTGTTAATTATTGTCAGGATTTCACAATATTTAATATTAATTTTTTACAGTAAAAACTGTATTCATAATTGTATTGTGGCTTCAACTTTAGATGTTAATAACAGTACATTACTGTTAAAAATGCATGTTTGAGATATTCTGTACATATACAGTGCAAAACATTGTGAATAAATAT